GAAGTGATGTATCTAAGTCTGTAATGGAGAACACAAATTATCAGGAAAGCCAAGATACATTAAATAAGAGAAAAAAATAAAAAGTAGAACATCAATACTTTCAATTCATTAATTAAATTAATAATAAAAGTTAATATAAAAAGGGGCCAATAGACATGTTAAAATTGAACAAAAATACAAATAGGGATATAAAAATCATAACTACTTATTGGGAATAAAACAACAAATATTTACTAATATAGTAAAACTTAAATACTCTCTGTCCCCCCATACACACACGCACACATACAAAATATATATATATATATATATGGTAATGCATATGCTGGTTAACTAGGGGGGAGGAATCATATTATAATGTATGCATATACAAATCATCATGATGTACACCTAAATATCTTATAATTTTATTTGTAAATTATAACTCAACAAAGATAAAAAAATTTACAGAATGTGTATTAACAGAAGTAAAATTTCCAGTTACCTCTACCTTCATATTGTAGTAAATATATTACAATATATATGTGCATTTTTTTAGTAGTTCAGCTAAGGAAAAAATTAAAATTGATTTCCAGGTTTTAATTTCTGGGGAAATTTTCTATTTAAAACTTACTTTGCATAAACTCTCAGTTCACTGTAATTTTGATTTTTCAACTCAGCAATAAACCAGTATAAATAAAAAAAAAGAAAAGCAAAAAAAAAACATCAATATATGAAGCAAAAATAAAAAGAAAATGTAAGTCAAAAGACCCAAAGACATTGTGAAATAATAAAAGTGTACATAAATAATTTTGACAAAGAAAGGCTAAATAAGTAACTACTGGAATTAAATAAATAGCTTATTGTACAATCTTGGTTCTGCTTACAAGGTCTGCCCGTCAGTGGAAAACACAGAGCATGAGGTTCATAAGGGTCAAGGACTTTCACCTCCTTGGCTAAATTTATTTCTCAGTATTTAATTAATTAATTTTTTTATGTAACTGTAAATGGGATTGTTTCTTAATTTTTCTATCTGATAGCTTATTATCAGTGGATAAAAACAAGCTATTTCTGTTTGTTAGTTTTGTATACTGTGACTTTACTGAAATAATTTATTAGTTCTCAGAGTTTCTTTTTGTGGAGTCTTTATGGTTTTCTATGTATGCTATCATGTCATCTGCAAGCAGTGACACCTTTCCTTTATCCTTTCCAATTTGGATGCCCTTCATTTTTCTTACTGGAATTTGCTGTGGTTAAGACTTCTAATACCATATTGAATAAAAGTGGTGGGAGTGGTCATCCTTGTCCTGATCCTGATCTTAGAGAAAAATCTTTCAGCTTTTCACTGTTGAGTATGGTGTTAGATGTGGGTGTGTCATACATGGCCTTTATGATGTTGAGGTATGTTTATTCTATACCCATTTTATTGAGCGTTTTTGAAGAGATGGCTGCTGAATTTGTCAACTGCTTTTTTTGCCTTTATTGAGATGTGATTTTTATCCTTCTCTTGTTAATGTTGTGTATCCCATTGATTAGCTTGCAGCTGTGAACCATCCTTGCATACATGGAATAAATCCCACTTGATGATGATATATGTTCATTTTTTTATTGTTGAACTTCGTTTGCTAATATTTTGTTGAGGAGTTTCACGTATATGTTCATACAGGGGATATTGGCCTGTAATTTTCTTTTTTTGTGATGTCTTTGGCTTTTGTATCAGGGTAATGCCTGTCTCATAAACTAAGTTTGGAAGCATTCCTTAATCTTCAATTTTTTGAAGTAATTTGAGAAGGATAGGTTCTAACTCTTCTTTAAATGTTATGTCACTTTTTAATTATGTCTTAATATACAGAATCAAGTATATTTTTCACTTGCTTACATGAGTGTATGTGTGCATCTTCATTCTGATAAATATCTAGTGTCCCAGTATGGCAGGTGACATGATTCAAGTAACTTTATCAGCATTTCTTATTTCTAGTGTGACCTACTCTATTTTAATAGATTTTTTTTATGAATCACTAACTAAAATTTCCCTGTTTTCTTACTGTGAACAGATATTATTCTCTGATCTCCATCTCATACATGCTGGTCAAAGTTTTTAAAGTAAGACACCAAAATCCCAAGTCTATTTATATAATAGATTAAATTGATTATATATATGGAGTTGCTTATAAGAGTAAATTTATTTCTCAATGTTTTTAGTACACTTTCACATAAAAACTGGTATACAACTACCTTTTAGAGACAGTCTTCTAAGTTTGGCATTATTTTGACACGTGAATCTCAACTTCATTTTTTATATCCAAGATCCTTCATAGTGTGCGAATTAGTACTTACAAAATTATATGTATTTAAGTGAAAGTATTTGTTGAACATTTTAGTATGAATGAATATTTTTTATTGCTATTATATAGTGTTTGAGAAATGGTAGCAAAGTTTGCAGTCTGTGTAATTTAAAACTTATCCAGTAATGAACAGTGGACCACAATGTAGCAACCTTACGTTATATACAAACTATAGTTCATGCTTGATTATAGACACTAAGCTCATTGTCTCACCATTCTTACTTTATTTGAAGCAACTGAAATTGTTTCAAAATTTCTGGAATATTTGCATTTTTTTTTAGAGACGTACATCCTTCACCTTTGAGGAGCAGAGTAGAGCCTCTTTTTACATTATTTCATATCTGGATGTCTGAAGTAATTTTATTTCAATGCCCCTTTGGAGATAAGAGGTCCTTGCATTACCTTCCATCAGCTGAAAGCAATGAAGCATTACAGTTCTCTGCCCATCTTATTGATAGATTTGCAACTGAAGCAAAAGAAATTCAAGGCCTTTTTTAGATCTTGGAGAATTTTACAACAGCATCACCAGCAAGAAACCACAGAAAAAAGCAAACAAAGCAGAATATACTTTTTGATGTGACGGAAGATTTCTACTGATGTAGCATTTTTTTCTTCTTCAAGCTAACAATACAATGCATAAATTCTCTTTTACCTTATATTTTTTAATTAAGAAAGAAAGAATTTTTAAATGTCAATATTCTTAAAAGAACAAATGGACATTTTAATAATTCAAAAACATATAATTTCAAATAAATACAAATTTCATTTGGACTTCTGTCCCATGAACATAGCATAATTTATTACTTGTCAAATAAAAAGTCATTTAGGGGAAATGATGGTTATAATTGACATCAATTAGCTCTGTTTTTAGCATAATTTCTCAAATTTTCACTCAAACATATCAACCAAATTTATTAAGCCTTAACAATGCAATAATGGAAAGTATCTGAATATTGCATCTTGGATGGCTCTTCTAAGATTCTGAAACTAAGCACAACTATCTAGTATACACTGTTTGCTGAAAGTATAGAGATTAGAATTTGTGACCTCACTTGAAAATCAGACATTTGCAAATTATGAATGCTACAGGTATTTGATTTTTCCTTCCTACATTTGCTCTGTTTTTCTCCTACATAAGCTCTAGCCGAACTTTAGCACTCAGTGAGATGAGCTTGTATCTGTTCCACAAGTCTGAGGATGGTCTCTAAGAGTCTAACCTGTGCCTGTTAATCCAGGCTGCACAACAGAATATTTTAATTTTTTTTAAACATCCAGGTTTGCAATGTGGTTATATGAATATTCAAATAATAATATACCTTTAGGGATTGACTGGGTAGGTCTAGGTGGAGATTTCTTGCATCAATACACTTTTTAACGTTCACCTATGATTTTAATATGAAGCCAGCATTGAAAACCACTGGACTAACCTAATCAAGATAATCATACCAGTCTTGTAACTCTGTTTTGTTCATTACACACCTTCCTAAACTGAGCAGTGGGATGAGACTCAGTATACAGTGTGCAAAATTTGATTCAAAGTGAAAATCATTCAGGACATTATCTGATAAGTCTGGTGCAAAAATTATCTTTACTGCTCTTGAAAATTTGATATGTAAATATGATGCATGGAACTGTTACTCAGAGGATGATGTTAGCACAAGGAGTGCTAAAGCCCTAAAAGAATTGCAGAACTGTTGGTTTAGCCTTATTATGCATCAGGTGCAATGTATCTAATTTTGATAATTTTCAAATCAATACCAATAAAAATCCCTTTTTTAATTGAATTTGAGTTAAGAGTCTCTGGTATTTAAAACTCCCCAAAATTTTAATTATCTGGCCAATAAAAAAGTAGAAGTAATTCAGGCCTCACCCTGTCATTTAATATTGCTGTAAAGTTTTGTTTTTTTGGGGGGCGGGTCTTATGATTATGCTGATTCTTAACTATAAACTGTGTATTATTCCTTCATGAGAACTGATTTAACTAGTCAGAAAAAGAAACTATGTAAATATAGTAAAGAATAATCACTGTGATAATCTGACACTAGCTCAATAGCAAAAACGAAGAATCCCCTCCATAGTCAGAAGAGAAATTCACAGATGCATGTATTTGCCACTTTTATTCCCCAGGATATTTAATATTTGATCTGTTTCACTGAGAAAAAATATAGATATGCACATTGGAAATTAAATCACATACTTATAAATGAGTTTTCATATCAGATTAATTGTAGTATTATTTTAATTAAAAATACTGTTTGTGAAAATATCTGAGTGCAAAATAATTACCAAAAATAATTGCCTTTCCATGTAAGCAACAGTGTAACATAAAGTATAAAGTAAAACAACTTAAAAGAATAAAAATTGTTTATCATATGTATGAGAAATTTTTAAATTATGCATATATATGGAGACATACAATGAAATCACAAAAGCATGAAAAACAGTGTATTCTGTAAAATTTTGGAAAGTTTTAAATCAGAACTCATTTGTAATAAAAACTATCTAATTTTCACATACCATCAAAAGCATCTGGAAAAAAAAGTAAGAATTAAACTGAGTTGAAATATTTGCAACAAATATACCCGAACCTTACTATATTGCTGAACTTTATCAATTGGAATATGTTCAAAAGAAATCAAGATAGTCCAGAAAAAAATTACAATAAATAGAACTTACAATATTCATTTCTGTGATGAAATGCCAATCCTTTCTCTCTTTGCCTTTTCATTGTTACTGTCTTAATTTATGCTCCTATTATTTTCAATTGAGACAACAGCTAAGTTATTCACCTCCCTTTTTCATCTCTTCTAACATTCCAGTTCATTTCTGAGAATCTCATCCATTCCACACACTGTGGTAAACTCAAATATGCCCTGAGAAACCAAACACGCATAGTCACTGGCTTCATGTAATATAGCATTCAGTAATTCAGATAATATATAAGTAAATGGTTTCAAAGTACATAAAAAATCAATAAACAAATGTATAATTACCCATTGATTAATGTGCTATGAATTTGACAAAAAATGATTCCAAAATATATGTTAAAAGGTCATGTCAGTTAAAAAAAGAATTCAGTGAAGGACTTAATCCAAGACTTGAAAGGTACAAAGGCAGAAACATATAGATGTACGAGCAATGAATTCCAAGTACATGGAACAGTACGTTGATTATTTTCAGTCTTGAAAGCACTAGTGTGCTTAGAAGTTAGTTTGTCTAGAAATTAATGAATAAAAGAGGGAGTGGTCTTTAGTACAGTTAGACAAGTAAACAATTGCAAAATATGTAGGTTTGGTACGTTATTGTAAGGAGATTATTATATTTTCTAAGAGCAATGGAAAGTCTTTAAGTATATAAGAGGGGATGAAATGGAAAACATTTTAATTGTTTTAACAAATCATTCCCCACCCCATAAAAATAAAATTGCAATTTGATTAACCTGCTTTGTTAAACTATATGTATTTTATATGTTTATTATTCACTTCCTATTCATGATTTTCATATTATTATTGAAAATTATTAGTTTTAACAGAATGCATTTTTCAGTTGTGGGTAATTATTTTGGCTTTTATTTTGCTTTGGGCTTTTTTGTTTGTTTTTATGAATTCTACAGTAATACTTTTGATCTAGAGAAAATCTTCTCCAAATTTAATGTTTTAGTTTTACATTGTTTTAAATTTTGTTCATTTCTTTTCAGGAAGTTCATATTAAATATGACATGGTAAGTAACATACTTTGTCTATTTATATTTTATTTAATCTTACTTGGTATTATTCTTTTTTAGAGGGAAGATATGATATCTAATTTTCTAAGTAACTTTATGGAAAGCAAGAATTATACTAATTTCTTCTACTGTGAGGACTTTATTCCAGTAATTCTGTTCTTTAACATATGAACACACATTAAATGATGTAATTGTCTTTTTTTCTCATCACATAGGTTCATTTGGATTCAGTGTACTAAAAATATCACCATGAATACAAATTAGAGCTTTTATTTGGTAAAGTTATATTATGTTTGCTTATCACCTCAAGAAGAGTTCCATGATAGATCCTCACAGGTATTAATTTGACTCTAGGAAACCCTAAGTCTTAGCTAAAATTAATGGGATCCTCTATATACAAAGTTGAGAACATCACCTACTGACACACCTGCTTATTTTAGATGTAAGAATTATAGTCCTGAAAGCTGAAGATATCTAGCACAATGGCACAATTTTACTAAAAATAATCTAGACTTACAATGGCTATTAGGAGAAACGGTCCAATTAGACAAGACTGCTCATTTAAGAAAAGCACTTGAGAGCAAGAAATCCCAGGTTGAACAGAATAGCGTGCCTCCTTTTAGTAGTGCAGAAGCTTCCAAAGGTCTTCAAGGTTCCAAAATAGCTTCATCAAAGGACCTGTTACAAGATGCTAATGAAAAATTAAAAATACAACAAGTAAAACAAAGATGATAGAATTGTCATGACTCCTACTACTTCCTCGCATCCTTTTTTACCTGAATATTCACATTTTACTAGTTCTCTGTCTGAGCTGCCTCTCCACTGCAGAGACAATAGACTGTCACCTTTTAAAATAGAACTACCTAGGTTGCAGACAAATCTCCTCAGGTGTCCTTCCCCCCCAAGTTAGAGTCTAAATGAAGGGACACGGTTAAAGAATTTCCTAAACCCTGAGAGGAATCCCTTAAAGTTTTTGAAGAATCTAGAGTCATTATTGAGGTCTAAGAATCTATGCTTCCCGGTCTTTATCAGCTATGGCACATGTTTGTAGGTCCTGGGAAAACCCAAAAAGTGGAGTCAGGAAGAAAGAAGGCAAAAAAAAGAAAAAGTTGCAGAATGGCTAAGATAAAATGAGAATGAATAACCATATGTCATGAATTATAGGACATAGTTAAATCAATAGCTTTAAATATTATATGATTAAAATAGAAATAAGAGAATTTAGGAACTAAACATTTTTCTCAAGTATATAACAATGAAGTAAAATTAAAAGTACAATAAAAATTATGTTTATAAAGGAAAATAAAGATTAATGGGTTTATATGGAGGAAAATACAGCATAATTCCCAGGAAATTAAATTTTAAATGTTTGATTATTTACAAAAATGTGAAAATCAAGTTTTACTTCTTCCAGAAATGGTGCTACACAAAAGTACCAAAGTAATGTTTAAACAATTTCTGAGAATATAAATATCATTGTGTTAATATTTTTATTTTAACATATGCATATATCTACAAAAAATAAATAGAATAAAATATTTTGAGATAAAACAGTTTGGTCACAATTGCAGTTCCAGTATATCTAAAACAGGGCATATGTTTACCAGAAGATACCCTGTATCATTTTGTTTTGTCTTTTTTTATTAAACACACAAACACACAATTTTACAGAAGACAGGTAAAATCTAATAATTTTTTAGTGTACCCTCAGGGTAAAGGCCTCTATGAAAAGAAAAAAACTAATTAACAGAATTATTTATTTTACACATGTGGGAGGGAGTTAACTGTCACTCATTTTGTAACGTCCAAGGAATAAAGTATTATAATTACAGTAAAGATATTCTTATGTAATTAGCTATAGCTATTTTAAGCCCCATTAAAATAAAC